GGGGAAGGTTCTAGAGCCCAAGTGGGGGGAGGAGCAGCTGAGGGAGCTGGGGTTGCTGAGCCTGGAGCAAAGGAGGCTCAGGGGAGACCTCACTGTCAACAGCTCCCTGAAAGGAGGTTGTGGTGAGATGGGGGTTGATCTCTCCTACCAAGGAACAAGCAACTGGGCAAGAGGACACAGGCTCAGGCTGCACCAGAGGAGGTTTAGGTTGGACAGAAGGATAAATTTCTTCCCTGAAAGGTTTATCAAGGCCTGGCCCAGGCTGCACAGGGCAGTGGTGGATTCCCCCTCCTTGCAGGGGTTAGAAGTCATGCAGATGTGGTGCTGAGGGACGTGGTTTAGCAGTGGACTTGGTGGCGTTAGGTTAGTGGTTGGACTGGATGATCTCAAAGGTCTTTTCCAACCACAACGACTCTGGGATGAAGCTGGGATTGTTTGCAGTGGTACCAGTTTGTGTGATGGGAGCAGGCAGTGGGGCATGCAGGGGCTGGGAGGGAGGCACCGAGCTCTTCTTTCCCATCAGAAGGGCCCTCGCTAAGCCAGGCCCGTGGCAGACAGAACCAGCATCTTCCCAGGAGGAGGAACATCTCGGGGTGTCCCCTTTTCCACCGCAGCAGCTGCTGTTTGGAGCTGCGGGTGCCGCTGGGTGGCTCTGTGGGTCTGTGCACGGTTTGGCTTTGGGAGGAGCTTCAGGCTGGGACCCTCCTGTGGCCACTGCTCAGAACTGCGGGGGAGCCTCTGGAGGAGGAAGAGCCGCGGGGTTTCTGGGTTTTTAACCAGCTTGCAGTGTGTCTAGTTGCCATAAACTCCACACTAGAATTCAGGTCCTGTTGGAGCTACTCCCACATCTGAATAGGCTTCAAGAAGTTCTTCCCCATGAGAGTGGTGAGACCCTGGAAGGGGTTGCCCAGGGAGGGGGTTGAGGCCCCATCCCTGGGGGTCTTTAAGGCCAGGCTGGAGGAGGCGCTGGGCAGCCTGATCTAGTGGGAGGTGTCCCTGCTCATGGCAGAGGGGTTGGAACTGGGGGATCCTTGTGGTCCCTTCCAACCCTGACAGATTCTGATCTGTTTTAGCAGAGGACTTTAGAGCCCTAATGGCTCAATGGTTGGACTTGATGATCTTGGAGGTCCCTTCCAACCTAAAGGATTCTATGATTCTAAGTCTGTAGATGTCTTCAAGCTCTGCTTATTATGAAGCCCATGTTCAGGTCCCTCTTCACTGCAAGAAGAGGCTGTTTTGGGTACAGGGCTGTTTTGTGGGGGGTGACAAACATCAGGCAGGCTGTCTTCTCCCACAAAACCCCTGGAGAAGATGCCAATTCACCTCCTACCAATAAGTGGTTATTGGGGGCAGGAGCTGTCATTGGAGACAGTGACAGAGATGGGCCATGGCAACACCTCCTTCCCTGCTGATGTGTGAAGTCTCTCTGGCCTGTCCCATCTTCCTCCCTTCTGGTTTGGGTCAGGAGAGGTGAAAGGAATTTTCCTCAAGCCGTTGCTGCACGGGGTGCAGAGACCTGTCATGTTTTGCCCCCTCCTTTCCCCTACCTGTGCTATACATAGCTCAGCCTTCCTGCTGTACCCAAAACAACCCCAGGCCCAGGAGCAGGCTGGGGGGAGGGGGCAGGCAGGGAGGGTCCCTCACCTCCTTCCACTTGGGCTTGTGGTCTAACGGCTGCTGGGGGTTTCCCACGCCTTCCCCGCCCCCCCCCCA